AATCTACTAGATATTAATTACATTATAAATATATCAATTCATGTGAATATGACGGAAAAAATTCATTTTTTCTGAAAAAGTTGTGTCTATTTACTTGTGACCATGCTGTGTAATGAAGGCACATGAAGTAAATATATCTCTTTGACACAGTAAAGGCAGATAATGGCAATCATTTCTCTTTGATGTAAAGAAGTTTGGTGAAAGTAATTACATCTTTTTTTTTTTAATTATCAAAAATGTTGAACATAAATCCCTCTTATGTAATGATAGTAAGTGAAGACACATTTTTGTCTGATATAAATCCAAAAACATCAGAATACACATTGTGGGTAACTGATAATGAAAATGAATCAGAAGTTTGTGTGGTGCAAAGATAATGACAAGTTACTCATATATTCAGTATGTTTTAATAACTTAAAAATCAATGAAAACAAGTTATTTTAATTAATATGAAATAGATATCAACAATGTTTTTACACTTCTCACACGTAAAAAGTTACCACAAATCATTTAACTACCTGAGAGGGAGGGTAAAATGTCAGCCACCTTTCAAGATGCTGAGCATACAACCCTGGATTCAAGCAGCGGTTTCTCAGGTCTCGTAGATTCTTCGGTGCCTTGTCATTAGCTGTTACTACTTCATAAAATTCATACTTCAGAGCTGTAGTATCTTTGTGAGCTCTCATATGCTGCAATAGCAATAGTTCATTTCTTAACAAGAGTCTACTGTTTAAAAAATGGTATTGAGGGAATGTTTAAATATACTTCATAAAAAACAGACATGAAATAGAACATCAAGGCTACAAAAATTGTAATTAATTTTAAAGTTTACATATATATATGTTACAGACTTCTTTTCCATTTATGCAAAGTCTCTAACATATATATGTAATCATTTTAGGCACGAGCTCTAACATTATTCAAATACCTAAATTATTTTAGGTTACTTTATTGATGATTGAAAAGGACTTAAAAACCTCATTAATTCTAAAGATATTACTAAACTACAATTATTCAGATCTTCATACAAAACACTTTTTATGTTTCCACTGATAATACAATATTAATTTGAGTTTATTTCTGAACTGTTTCTTTTGTTTTATAACCATTAAAAGAAGCTTTACTTTAATGACTAGCAACATGCTTTTGTACTTAATGTGACTGTTTGTAACAACTACTTAATTCTATAGAAAAATCTGGGTATATACCTTTTGCTTCTTATAAAATAACATTACCAATCAGTGTGTGTTCTGGCAGTGGTTCTCTTTAAATGTGCTAATACAGTACCATGAAAAAGTTGAGCTTCGTATTATATACAATTTTAGTTAATCACTCTTTGTTTTGGTCAATATACAAGATATTTATATATTTTATTTCAAAAAAGTTTATTATACTAATTGACTTTAATATACAGTGCACAATTAATATGTCAGTGTGAAGTTCAGATTTAGTGCTAAAAGTTTCTAAGCCATGTGCAACAGACAATGTTGAACACTCTGCTAAAGATTTCTATATCTTACTAACCTACAATGAAGACAATTTTGAAAATAATCAGGTCTACAAACCTGGTACAAATGTATACTTTATTCTAAGAGTATCTTTAAAGAAATTTTATCTTACAAAATTTATGTACCAAGATTTCTTTTCATACATCAATATGACACTTACTATACCTGAAAACCAAAACAGATTGTTACTAATGTGTTATTTAACATGACTAAAGGACTGATATGCATAGATTTTAAAGTGGAAAAACATCTCTTCATGCATACCATCATCTTAATTCAAACTTTAATATTTGGAAAAGGTTTTATCATATTAGAAGTGCTCTTACGAAAAAAGTTTCACTACCTGATACCAGGAATATGCTCTTCTAATAGGACTGATCATAATAGTCACAAGTTTGGCATGAGGCAAAAGTGCATGAGCTCGAAGTGGAACAAGGTCTCCATCAAAATAAGTTGCACTCTTCTCAAATAGATAGTTACCTGTAGAGTTTATGGGCACTGGAAAAAAACTCATGTACCTAGAAATGAAACAGTGGAAAATGTATACTTTCTTAAACACAAAATTCTCTGAGGAAGTTAAGCAACATTAATTACAAAGGTTGTGCTGAAAGATTTGAAAAATAATACAAATATAAGAAAGGAAGAGAAGGTATGCTTGATGCTCGTCTGGTGCTAATCTTCAATACCAAGATTGAATACAGTGAGGTTTGCAATATTTCATTATACTAATACTATATAATTATTTTGTGATGAACATTATACACCCTGTTCATACTTTACATGCTAATTTATAGCTATTTTTCATGAATTTTGTTAACAGAAAACTATTATGAAAAGCATAGTCATTTAAATTTCTAATTTAATCCATGCAATTCAATATCGCCGGTTTTAAGGACTTCCTCCAAAATAGAATTACCTAATCTTTCATACTTTGTTTTTAAACATCATTATTTGTTGGTGATGAATCAGCCAATCACATAGTTTTATACTTTTGGATATTTTTCTTTTATAAACAAATAATATGTTATCTCTTTCAGCACAGGATTTGTCCCTGGGGCCAACCTTGTAACCATTTTGTGCTTATTATAGTTTTCATGCTATAACGTTTAAATTAATAAGCAATTGTTCACGAAATTTGGCACATTATCAGTGAACATTACAATGCTTTCATATGCAAAATATCAATTTTTTTTATTAAGTCTTAAGGTTTGTAAAGCAATGTTTTTTTCATGCCTTTTTCTTTCTTTTTGCATGTTGCCTATCTAACACGTAAAGTAATTTTCATTTTAAGATTAAAAATACTTTTATGCATCAGAAAATTGTGAAATTTCACATGCAAAATCTTTATAAT